CCCCAAAACCCCAAAACCCCAAAACCCCAATCAGTTGGGTTGAAATAAATTATTTAGTAGAAAAATAAAATAATCAGATTAGATAGAGAAATTTAAAGTTCAAAATTAAATGAAAGTTTAAAAATTTTACTCATGATGGGAACTTAAGTTGTTTTATAAGATTAATCAATTATTAAAGTTATTTCAAAACTCCTCCAATTTTAGCATGCTAGATTATGTACTCGATAATAGCTATTAGCTCTGAGCAATTATTTAAAATGATTATAAAGGGACTTTGGTAATTAAGAAAAGTTATCGCACTTAACCTTTTTCTTTTTATTAGATTTTCTGATTATGCTAAGTTTTATCCCAGTACCATTTGTAGATCTAAACCCTTTTTAATTCAATTTTCGAACTAAGTTTTGTTATAAATTGTCTATTCCAATTAGGATTTTTATCGTATTCGACTTGCAGCTTGTTCAATTACTCTTAAGATTTCATTACATTTCTCTATTTTCTTACTTTTAGCTCTCTTAGTCTTCTTTTTCTCTTTATTTATTGATTTTGCTTTTGACGCTTTTTAGTATTTTAATTTTATAAATCATTATTCTCAATGTTCTAATTTCTTGAGGTAGATCTTATTTTACTACTTTTTACGAGCTAAGCTGAGTGAATATATGGTTCAATCTCTTGTTTGTGATCACTATATATTAATTGATTATTTTTAAGTTTATTATTATTCAGAGTCATAATCTCAGTTTTTAGGTGCTCATCAGTCAGTTGATTATTATAGGAATAAATGTTTGAAAAGCAATGAGATGTCTAAGAATAAGATCTGTTAGAGCACTATGAATGGTTTAACTTATCATCGAACTTATGTATACTCTGAGGTACTACCTATTAAGGTTCTTTTAATTTGATGCCGCAAGTGAGATGTGCTTTAACTTATATTTGCAGTCTTTAAACATATTTATCTATGAGCTTTTCAGAAATTATCAATTCTTTTTCCTGGACTTAGGTACTTATTGTATTAGCATTCTATTTTTTCTCTCTTATCAGAGTTTGTAAATGCTTTTGAGGACTACTGCTTGAATTCTGATGACTCACATGAGTTCCATTTATCACCAGAGTTTATTGTAATGGATCTGCTTAAAACTATTCTTACAAATGTGATTGTGAAAGATCTTGACAATTTTCAGCAAAATTATGCAGTTCAGATAGTACTTAATTATCATTTATCATTTACTCTTATTGAATTCTATCGATAATCATACTTTTGATTGAAATTAGCATATTCTGGACTTAAAACAGGTTAAAAATGAAAGTAAGTTTTAGTGAAGGATTTCAAATATTTATTATTAATATCAATTTGACTCAAGTTTAATCTCAGTCTGACCTATAATTTATTCGATTTATTTATTATTGGTTTATATTTACTTTGATGTCATGATAAAAAGGATTAGGGGGTTTTGGGGTTTTGGGGTTTTGGGG